ACCTCCTTTTAGCTCCTTCCTTAAAACCTATTTTTTAGCTTCCTAGGTCCCTTATACTAAGGGATATCTCTAAGAACTATAAAATTAAGCTATACTTCGTAATAATATCTTAATATACTAAGGGTAGGTCTATAATATACCTTAAACCTTATTTTTATTAGATAGGTTAAATTAAACGTAATAAGGAAGGCTTATATTCTATAAATACCTAATAAACGTTTAGGTAGCTATCTTACTATTTAAAGCTTCTAAATAAAGCTTTTAACGATCTTTATAGACGATTTATAGTTAGAAGTTAATAGTAGCAGGCTTTATATCTTAAAGGATACTAGAAAGCTCTTAGGCTAGGAGGGCTTTATACTTAGATAGGTATCTCTTAAGGTCTTACTAAGTTTTAGTTTAATAGCGATAAATATTATATACTAATAAATTAAGGGATAGCCTATAATTATAAGAAGGCTTAGTAACTTAAAAATCCTACTTTTATAGACCTTTATTAAAGGAAGCTATAATATTAAGATAAAAGGGATAGTCTAGCTTTAAAGTAAAAGTCTAGTATAGCCTTATACTTAAGGAAGCCTACTATAGGCTATAATTATATATAAAATAGACTCGCGATATAAAGGAGGCCCTATTAATATCTCGCTTATATAAGCTTAACCGTTTAATAATAGCGGTACTATTATTATAAAGAAACCCTTAAATAAAGCTATATATTATATCGTAGGAATTAAAGCTTAGTAATAGCGGTAAGTAATTAATTATACTATCTTAAGTATTAAGGATAGTAGCGTTAGCGACTATAGCGTTAGCGGCGTTAGCGGTATCGGCGATAAGGGCATTATTAGCGTTAAGAAGGTTAAGAAGAAGGTCTATTATAGTAATTAAGATAGCTTTAAATTTAAAGTAAAGCTATTTATATAACGCCCTTTTACTATTAATATAATAGACCTATTTTTTTGGTATATATACCTACTAGCCCGCCTTACTTAAAGTACTACGCCTAGCCTAGTAAGTATCTATATCTTTTAAATGCCCTTATCTATATATATATATATTACGCCTACCTATACCTACTTACTTATTTATATATATAAATTTAAAGCTATTTTAATTACTATAATAGACCTTCTTCTTAACCTTTTTAATACTAATAACGCTTTTATTACTAACGCCGCTAATACTATAGTCGCTAACGCTATTATCCTTAACGCTTAAGATAGTATAATTAATTACTTACTACTATTACCGGGCTTAATTCTTATAATATAGTATATAGCTTTATTTAAGGGTTTCTTTATAATAATAGTACTACTATTATTAAACGGTTAAGCTTATATAAGCAAGATATTAATAGGGCCTCCCTTATATCGCGAGTTTATTTTATATATAATCGTAGCCTATAGCGGGCTTCCTTAAATATAGGGCTATACTAGACTTTTACTTAAAAGCTAGATTATCCCTTTTACCTTAATATTATAGCTTCCTTTAATAAAGGTCTATAAATATAGGATTTTTAAGTTACTAAGCCTTTATATAATTATAGGCCGTCCCTTAATTTATTAGTATATAATATTTATTGCTATTAAACTAAAACCTAGTAAGACCTTAAGAGATACTTATTTAAGTATAAAGCCCTCCTAGCCTAAGAGCTTTCTAGTATCCTTTAAAATATAGAGCCTATTACCGCTAACTTCTAACTATAAGACGTTTATAATAATCGTTAAAAGCTTTATTTAAAAGCTTTAGATAGTAAGATAGCTACCTAAACGGTTATTAAGTATTTATAGTATAAGGGCCTTCTTTATTACGTTTAATTTAACCTATTTAATAAAAATAAGGTTTAAGGTATATTATAAACCTACCCTTAGTATATTAAGATATAAAAGCGGTTTCTAGAGGTTCTTAGTCCTAATAATATATATAAAACTAACTACTTTAAACTCTTCCTTTTTTAGGTTACTAGCGTTATTAATTAAAAATCCCTTCCTAACTTTACCTTTAAACTTATTAATATAGAAAGGGAAGAGGGCTATTAATAGCTCTTAGAATCCCTTAACGATCTTTATATTAAGGTTAAGGTAAAAGAGCTTAGTATTATAGTTATTAATAAAGAAGCTATATTAAAGAAAGCTCTTTTAAGTATCTTCCCTTATATATAGTAATAGCTATATATCTTTTATACTAATAGTAATATTTAAGTATAAATCTAGTCTTACTAGAAAGATACTATAAATCCTAATAGTAACGAAAATCCTTTAGATCTTAAAATACCTTTAAAGGCTAAGGTAATCCTTACCTAAGAGGCTATAGCTAATAAGGTAAATAATAGCGTTAAATTAGGGCTTAACCTTAATAGGGATCTTAACTATAATCGTAAGGGTATATTACTTACTTAATAGTATATTATCTTTATATATATAAAGGCGGATTTCTTTAAGTTATAGCAGCGGCTTAATAAAGTCTTTAAATAATACTAAGGCTATATTATAACTTATATCTTAAATAAGTATATACCCTTATAAAAGTAGTAGGCTTAGTACTATATTTACTACTATTATAACTTTAGTTAATAGGTTAATAGCTTAGTTAAGACTACCTATAAGGATATAAAGTTATATTTACTTATAAGTATAGCTAACCTCTTATACCTTTATAATACCCTTATTTAAATAATTAAAAATAAGGAAATCTTATACTTATAAATAGCCTTATAGTAAGTAATATAATAATAGCGTCTCTTCCTTAGCTAATAGTAGCTTAAAGATATTAACGTTATAGTTATATATTAAGTAGTTAACCTTCTTACTATATAGTTCTAGCTTATTATAGCCGTAATACCTTTATCTATATAAGAGTTAACGCTATTATAGCCTTATAATAAGAACTTTATATATTAATTTAAGCTACCTTACGCTTATATTATCCTTAAATACTTCTAAGCTAGCTTAATACTTAATAAGGCTAATATTCTTCTACGATAGTAACTTAAAAAGCTATTAGAAATACCCCCTCCCCTTTTTAATAGGTTTCTTATTAATTCCTATTACTAGGACTTTAATAAGCTATTACTTTAAATCTATTATCCTAATATTATTATAGTTATATAAGGCCGGCCCTATAACGTAAAGTTACCTATACCTAGCTCGCTCGTAGCCGGGGTATCCTAAGTTATAACGGCGGCGGCTACTACGCTAGTAGAAGCAATAGTAGCGGCGATAGCGACGGCGGCCGCGACGGCCGCGATAGCCGCGGCGGCAGACGCCGCAGCGGCAATAGCGGCGATAAGGGTATCACGGCGGCTGCCTAATTCGAGGGGTAGCTCGAGGCGCCTTAACGTAAGCATACGACGGCACCGGGGCTAAGATAAGATCGACGAGCTAAGCTAGAGCCCTCGGTCCCTCGTAGCGTCCTAACAACGATTGCCCGCCCGAGGAAATACTAAGGGAAGGGGATCAAGAGGAGGACATAGCCGGAGGGGCATGCCTATAGCCTCGTCGCAGCCGGCGGCATCGTCGGGCGTTAGAGGGATCGTTGAGTGGCAAGCCATTGAGTAGGTGCCGCCGCCGCCGCCGCCGCCGGCCACATAGCTATGAGGGCAGCGGCGGCGGCAGCGGCGGCAGCTGCAGCCGGGTCAATTAGTGGGCTATTGCAATATCAACTTAAGGCTAGAAATGCGTTATTTAAGCGAATTAAGCGGACGCGTTGTGCGGCCGTAGCTGCGCCGGTGGAAGGGGCGCAAAGTACGTGTGTGTGTATAGACGAGGGCATTTAGAAGGTACGGGTACTTGCTAGGGCGGACGCGGTATAAGTAGTACGGGGGCCTGGCGCGGGTACGTATTTAAAAAATAGGTCTATTATACTAATAGTAAAAGGGCGTTGTATAAATAGCTTTACTCTAAATTTATATGTATAGATAAGTGGGTAGGTGTAGGTGGGCGCAATGTGTGTGTGGACGAGGGCATTTAAAAGATACGGATACTTGCTAGGCCGGGCGCGGTACTTTAGGTGGGGCGGGCTGGCGGGTGTACGTACCGAAAAAATAGGTCTGTTGTATGAATAGTAAAAGGACGTTGTATAGATAGCTTTACTCTTTAATAATTGGCCGAATAGCGCCACTGACCAGGGCCCCGGCCAGGCCATTGTCCAGGGGCCTCAGGGCCTTGAACCTCGCTAAAACCCACACGACCGTAAATTCGCTTTCCCCACCAACACACCTTCACCCACGAGACGAATCCACAACGAGCTAGTTAGTTATGGATTCTGAGAGTGTGTTATCCTTCTTCGATTCTGAATCCATTTTGTCGGACGCTTCGACGTCTAGGTCTCGCAATACACGAGGCAAAGCCGCCATTGCAACCTGGAAGCATGCTCGTATGGCAGCAGAAGGAGAGGAAGAGTTTAAGGGACGGAATCGCCTTCTCTATTGCCGTCATTGTCCCCAGAAGAACCCGTATAGCACTTCAGTTACCACCAACTTTCGCAAACATCTTGAGCGTAAGCACGAAATTCGGGTAGTGGCAGATTTGACTCCGCTTCAATCGTCCGTCTTTGAGGGGTTTGAGCAACTCTACCAGCAAGCACAGGACTTGGGCCGTACAACGGAGATTGAGTCGGAGGTCTTCAAACGCTACCTCGACCAAGACAAAATCAGCAAAGCGTTAGCATGGCTGATCGTCGCACGAAACCTTCCTTACAGCTGGTTGGCCGCTGCAGGCGGAAGGGGGGTTCTAGGGGGTCCCCCTTAAGAAAGTCGAATGTAGGTATACGATATTCACCCTTCGGGCTGGATATTCAGCCGTTAAGCCCCTTGAATTGGCAACTTAACGGGTGTTCGAAGTATTTTACTGTATCATCCCATTCATGTAGCTAAGCTGTAACTGAAGAAGGGGCGACTTGTTCAAGAATGACCAGTTGTCATGCAATTACGAGGAAGAAAGGGTACGCCCGAGTTTCTCTGTTGTCCACGCCTATTTCTCGTTGATGCATTAGTGCGGACGTTAGTTTGTGTCATCTTGAATTGGCTCTCTCCCGGTGTCGTCTTGACTCGGCTTTCTCCATGAACCACCAAACCGATGTCTGAGGAGTGCCGACTTTGAGACTGTGTCGCCATGCGTGCTGTTGGAATGCAACTGCCCCGTGCCGAAGCCGTCTATCGGGAGGACCAGGATGTCTCCAATAAGCCTTGGCTCTTGAAGGTCGCTGAGATTTCGCAGAGAGACAAAGTCGGGCTCAAACGAACGGAATTGCTCGAATACTACATCCGTCCACGCGATAGGGCCTGTGGTTTCTAAGACATATGGTGGTGTGATGCTGAGGTGGGCAATATCGTTCCCCTGTTTTGTGGCCATGTCACGGACCGCTCTAATTATACTCTTCGCCATAAGGTAAAACAAGGGATGTCGGGCGGCCGCCGCGATTGTCCACTGACAAATTTGTAGGTCAAGATGAACCTCACCCCAGTTGGGCCCGTCGAGGCGATCGAACTCTATACCGACAATGACGCGGGTTTTGCTTCTGAACTGTGGTGGTATCCAGGAGTCAATTGGATGCAATGCCTCGGTGTCGATGTCGGTGTAGACGCCTCCTTCAGCTGCCAGGACAAGATAGCGAAGCAGGTCAGATTTCATGCCGGAGCTCTGAAGCTGGTTATAGACCTGGACCTCGTCCCCATCCGTTCCAAAATAGCGACTAATGAGGGCCTCGCCCTCGGCCGCCCCGAGCAAGCGGTATTCATAGCCGCGGTTGAGCGCCAGCCATGAGGCAGTGTCGGATAAGTCCCTAGGAGTTGGCTGTCTGAAGAAAATCTGCCAAATCTTTTGCGGGATAAGGGTATCTGAGCCTTGTTGCGTCGACGTCTTGGGAGATGAAAATCGCGGCCGCCAGAGAGGCTGCTGGGCTAGAGATTGTCGGGCGGAGCTGAGATCGTGGGGCAGCAAGAAGTAGCCCCAGATGAAGAAGATGGCAAACAACAAGGCGCAAGGCAAAATTCTTGAGTATCGTTTCATGGCGCCGGAGGCGAGGGGTGGCTGGGCCGTAGTCTTGCTCGATAAGAGCAGTATGGCATGTCGCCCTCAATTGGATCTGGTAGAAAATGACGCTCAGGGCCGAGCCTGGGCGGGTCTATCCAGCGAGGGAAAGGAAGAGAGAATCCTCCCTCGAGCTGGCTGGCGAGCGAGTGAAATTGGTAGACCTTGTAGAACGGGCTTTTTCTTTTTTGATAAAAGGAGCAAAACTTGGGGTACTTAAAAGAAGAAGAAGCGCGTATAGCAGCGGATTACACGACTCGTATGCTTTGCCACTGACTTGTCCTCAATGCTGCGCCGAAGTTTCATGGTCTCGAGTAAGGCTGTCGAGCACGAGTCATGCTAGCGCTTGCCGTTAAGTATACGAAGTACACATCAATAAGGTCCTGTCCAAGTGCTTTGTTACGCGTCTTATGCGGCATTGAAGCGAAACTCAATCAGTGGAGAGCCCGCAATTCGGGCTATGTACAAAGTAGCCTACTTCACCTTTTCACTTAACAACTGCTCTGAAACCATTCGAAACTGTGCGGCGCGCAAGCGTCAGCAGCAGCCATGCATGACACGATAGGGGCCTGTCAGAGGGAGCAGACTGACAGTCTAATCCGCACACGTATAAACTCCGGTGAAAGAGGCAGGTCAGACACAAGGACTTGAGTCAGGTATCGATACAGTAGAGGAACATTGCCCTAATCGGGATACACGGGAATTGGCCCTGATTCAGGGCCTCCACGGGTCCCATATAGGTATCTATTCGTATAAATACCCCCTCAATGTCGCAGATAGATAGAAAACATGCATCATCGTTTCGACTCAATTGTGCCTGCCCTTATCCTTCCGCCCGCGCTCTCAGCTTGCTGAGAGGGCCATATCACCAAGGGGAGCGCCATGTGCTGATATTAGATGGCCCCGTGGTCAGGTATCCTCTCTTCCGACGAGGCTGGACAAGTCATGGACAGGGCAGAGTACTCGCAACCTCTCTGCACTGCTGTCCAGGTCGGTCTCGTTAATTTCTTGGCCAAGGCCGGAATCACGCCTGCTGCCGTTGCTGGCCACTCAAGTGGCGAAATTGCAGCTGCATATGCCGCCGGAGCCATCTCGCTATCAGAGGCCATCTTGAATGCATACCACCGCGGACTGGCTGTCACGCATGTTCAACGTCGCGGTGCCATGGCAGCGGTAGGCATGGGCCGAGCGGCGGTGGCACCTTTTATTGCGAATGGAGTCGTTTTGGCGCGCGAGAATGGCCCTAGAAGCGTAACTCTCTCCGGTGATGAAGATGCTCTGGAGCGGATCCTTGCCGCCATCAGTGACAAGAACCCCAAGACGGTTAAGCGGTGGCTGGGTGTCAATGTTGCATATCATTCAAGTAATGAAACTCTCAGAAAGCTGAGAGCGCGGGCGGAAGGATAAGGGCAGGCACAATTGAGCCCAAACGATGATGCATGTTTTTTATCTATCCGTCGAATAGATACCTCTCTGGGACCCGTGAAGGCCCTGAATCAGTGCCAATTCTCGCGTATCTAGACTTGTAAATAGATAAATCAAATTAAATCCGGGGTCTAATTTAATTTAATTTAGATAGCAAAATTATAGATCTAATCTAATTTAATTTAATTTAAGTCGATTTAGATCTTATTTAGATGTCTAGATAACTCTACCTTTTTCCTACGACGAAATACACTAAGCCGCCCTAATAAGGTCCGCTTTAAGGCGGCCTCTTTAAGCTATAACTATCTATCTAGTAAGGCTAAATATTCTATCTAGCTCTAAAGACATTGCCGGAATAGAAAAGAGGTCGATTGCTATTCGCGATAAGCGTGGATACTAGCGTCTACGGAGAAGCTAGTACTAGATAGGATTGTCTATAAGACAATCGCCCGGATCGGTACTAGCTACCTATTCTACGTACTCGTTACGCGTAGAGGACGGTAAGGGCGTAGGTTAGGCGCTAAGTTTCCTAATTAATATTATAAAGTTATCTAGGTCTATTATCTTCCTTATAGCTATAGGCTCCTTAGGTATCGTATCTTACTCGACCGCGAGGGTTCGGTACTCCTCCTATAGCTCTTATATAGCCGCCCTTCCTCTAGCTAACTAGTCCGGATAATCGGACTACTACGACTCGACGGTAGACTAGCGAAACGCGGGATAGAGGACGAGGCTTACGAGGTATATAGGGCTATCCTCCGTAAGGGCGTAGTATTAATCTAGCCTTATCTAGCCGAGATTATAGCCGATTCGTAGGCATAGTTCCTTATCCCGTTCGTGCTATAGCTTTGCCTCTTCTAGGTGCTTTAGAAGCTACTCTATTATAAGTAAAACTTCTTAAATCGCGCCGAATTTACCTTATTATAGCTAGCCCTTTAAGCGCTTTATCGCGATCTTCGATAGTTTTAGGATCGCTAAATACTCTATAATAACGGACTAGTCCTTAGTAACTATCTAGTCGTCTATAATTATAGGCTTCTTATAGCACTTTTTTAGTATTAGCTTTACCTCGTGCTATATCTTTCTCGCTATATATTAATTCTACTCTATTACTTTTACTTAAACTAGCGAATCGAGTATATTATAAAGTATATAGCCTTGCTTTATTATCGCTTTAGACGGGTTTTAGTAAGTAGCGTTATCTATAACTATATTATAGGTTATTTTATCTTCGAGGCCTAAGGTAGTATTCTCGATAGATTAAAGTATATAGAGCCTTTTAATACGCTACTTAGACCTTTCTACTTAATAAACGATATTATATAACTTACTAATAAGGCCCTTAATCTTTAGAGTTTAACCTTATCTTAGATCTCTTTATTAGCTTAATCCTATTTAAACGCGTTAGCGTCTATACTAAAAATAATAGATTAAGCGACAAGGTTAATAATATAGCTATAGTAACGGAGCTAATAATACTACTTATTAAACCCTAACTTAGCGCCTAAGTCTTTAAGGTATATATTATTGCTCTTTATATTATCTATAATAAAATATCTAACGCGATCCTCGAACCTATACTTATAGATTATCTCCTTAATACGGTCGGCTAGGTTTTCTCTATAATAGCGACCTTTAATCTATAGTAAGCTAAGGAGAAATATATACAACTTCCCTTCGTTATTAAGAAAGTATATAGTAAGGCTAAGTAAAGATGTAAATTTTTAAGAGGACTAAGTATTAAAGGAGACGTTAATATAGCTAAGCGACCGACGAAGTAATTCTATTACGATACCTTTATAATAATTAAAGGAGCGTATAATCTAGTTGCGTATTATACTATAAGTAGGAATACTACCTAAATCTATAATTATACTATTCGCATAAGCTATAAGGTCGCGAAAGTATAGACTTTCTAGTTTATAGAATAGTATATTATTATATACTACTTAGTATATTAAGAGATATTAAAAGCGAAGCGGTTTAAAGGATAAGATAAAGGTATTTATTAAAGCTTAATCCTTTAGTCGGTTAAAGTCTAGGTTTATCGCGAAGCATAGCTTAATTTCGTAGTTCTTAGAGATATCCCTTAGCACGAGGGACCTAGGAAGCTAAAAAACAGGTTTTAAAGAAGGAGCTAAAAAGAGGTATAGAAAGGAGGGTAGGGGTATAAGGGGAAGTAAAAGTAGCGATAGCTTCCTATAAAGGTAGCGAAAGATAAGATAGATATACCGGCAACGGCTAGAAAGGAGGGGAAAAACCGGTAAAAAGCTCGGTAGTTAAAAGGATATTAGTAGCTTCTTTAAGTAGGATCTTCTTTATTAATTAAGATACTAGACGGGTATAAAGAGGGGTATTAGATAGAGGAAAGAAGGAGGATTAAGGCAATATAATAATTACTCCCCTACTATAATTACTGCCCTTATAAGATTTAAATATCTCTACCCTACCTATCTAGCCCCTTACTTTTACTTTTACCTTTGTATATTTTATATATACTTCTTATATCTCTCTTCGTAAGAGTTATAAGCCTAGGAGGAATAGTATTCTTATACCTTCCGGCTACTATAAAAGGCACCTTTCTTATATCCCTTATAGCTTCCTTTTACCCCTCTTATTAGAAAAGCCGATTTTTACTTAACTTTTCTACCCTTCCCTATAATAATAATAAAAACCGACTCCTTTACTATCCCTACGGTCCGTAGGACGATTCTAGTAGAGCCCTAAGATTAGGATAAGTAGGTAAAGGAGCTACGGGCTCGTATAGATAGAACTATCTATAATTTAGTCTTCTTTAATAAGTAGGACCCTCTCGAGCCCCTAGTTCGTCCTAGGGCAACGGAATTTATAAAGGGAGCTTCCCTCTTCTCCGAGCTAACCTCTATATAATAGAGAGCTTTTTCTACTATATTAGGTAACTACGAGAGTTACTATAAGGAGTACCTCTATAAGACGAAGCTACTAACTATATACGTACGGCGATAACGGAATCCGTTAGTGCCGTAAAGCTAATCTCTCTTTAAGAGGAAGAGACTTTTAGGTAGTAGCTTTTAAAGCTCGAGACCTTAATAGCTCCCTTAAGGGGCTATATAACTAACCGTATTAGGAAGACCTATATAGTATACCTAGGAGCCTTTTCTACTAGGAACTTACTAGCTTCTTCGTAGCTAGCTAAGTAGGAAGAAATCCTCGAGGAAGCTAACTAATACTTCCTTATAGAAGCTCTTTCCGGCTAGTAGCTATAGGATATATCTCTACTAATAAAGCTTATTAGTAACGGTTACTTAACTATCTTTTAAGAAGCTAGCCGGGAACTAAATAAAGAGGCTACTAAAGTATAATAGTAAGTAGTCTTATTCCTTTATAGCTAGCACTCGACCTAGACGGCTCGACCTACTGCCCCTATAGCTACTATAGCCCCTATTACTACGGCCCCCGCTACTACTACTATAGTTATTGCTCCTTTAGCTCTACCTCCCTCGAGAGTATTAATACTGTCTTTAACGGCTGCCCTAGGCCCGGCCCCGGCTACGTATCTTATTCCGGGTCTAGCCTTAGTCCTATTAGTTAGACCGGCCTAACTAGTCCCTTAATAGACCTTTTAGTCTATTAGTCGAAAAATTAAGGAACTAGTCGAAATCGAACCTCTTCGTTAAAATTAGTAATAAGGGGTAAAAAGGGGGGGTTTTTAAGTAGACCTTCTAGAAAGGGACGAGGATTCCTTAAAGAAATAACGTATAAGGAGGAATCGACCTACCTACTAAGTATATAAAAAGCCCTATCGGCTAAAAGACTACTAGTAGGTCTTCGAGGAAAACCGACTTAAAGGAATTAACCCTTTAAAGAGGCTATAAGAAATAGTATAATAGTCTCTTAAGGAGGACCCCTTATTATAGAAGAAGATAGATAAGATTTAGGTTACTAAGAAATAGTAACTAACGCCGCTGCCCTTATTTAAGCTATAGATTTAAGGAAAAGTCGTTAGTATAATAAATCCGGTATTTATCTTCCCTATAGATTAATAAGGCTAAGACTAACCGTTAGGACCCTTTAACTATCCCCTATAAAAATTAGCTATCCTTAACTCCGGTACTTCCCTTAATATCTATAATATACTCTTACGATTCCGGTCTTTTAAGAAGGTATAAAGGGAATACCTTATTACTAAGGAATTAACCGTATAAATAGAGGGATATAGAAGGGTGAATTTTATAATAAAATTACCTAATAGGTCTATATAAATTCTTCGACGAAAAAGGGTAGCTTTTTATACTCGATTTTTAACGAGCTTAATTTCCTTCCGCTTTCTTTAAAAGGAAGGAATCTTTTAAGATATAACGTCTAAGCCTACGAGGCTAGTCTAAAAGAATTAGACTATTAGGCTTATCGAGGAAAAATTCGGTTAATTTATTCTCGAATTCCGACCTATCTTTAAGAAGGAATTACTTAAGAAGTTAGCTTTCCCTACTAAGAGGAATAGGTCTACTATAAAGGATCCTCGTCTAGTAGCCTAAGGAGACGGCCTTCTTTAGCACGCACGACTTAGTTACCTAGGCCCCCTAGCTTTATATAAGCTAGGCTAATAATAAGGCGTATAAATAAGGGGCTTAAAGACCATCGAATATAAATACTATAGCTAAGGAAAGACTAGGAGACGAATTTCTAAACGAACGCTTTTATAGCCGGACTAGCTATATAAGGAAATTTAGGTCGACTAGACCGACGTCTCTAAGGACTAGGAAAGCTTCGTTAGGGTAATGTTTTTTATAGACGCTTTTTTAGGGATAGTTTTCCCTTATTTCTTATAGACCTACCTAAGTAAGTATAACTAGTTTGCCTTCTAGGACTTTATTAACTAAATAAAATCCTACTTTAGCTATAAGGTAAAGAAGATATAGTTTAATAGAGAGCTATTTATAAAGGATATCTTAAAATAGCTTCGAAAAATAGGTATTTTACCCTTTTTATTAGTACTAAATACC